AAAACCGTGTATAGTAAAGAGTAGCAACAATTCACTCAATCCCTAACAATCGATATCGGAGTCTTCCCAGAAAGACAAGACTTTCTTCTCATCTTGTCTTTGTTTAAAAATTATTTTGTTTGCTTTCTTATGGTTGATGCTTCGGAAAAACCGGAGGTGATATAACGTGTTTAAATAAGCTTAGTTTCCTGAACGTTTTGTCAGCGTTTCCGTAAGGAAACGCACTCACTGTCCTCTTATAATCTCAGATTAAGAAGGGTTAATAGTTCCTTATTTCCTTCTTCTGCCTACTCACCATCTTCATTTAATGCAGGGTGAATTCTAGGTATCAGCCATATGTTCCCAAGTGGAGTAAAAATAAATCTAGGTAAGTGACGTCGTTCGAGCAGAAATGCCTTAAGATCCAAAACTTCCATCAGTTTTGTCAGTCACATTTCAAGTTTGAGAATATTTTTCGCAGTCCCCTACATTTTCAGAATGATCACGTGTCGCGAAGATTTTCAGTTGCTCGACGTATGTCGTCCACCTGAAACCGTTTGACTTTAACAAAGCAGTTCGCATTTCTCTCGTCTTTCACTTAGACTTTTCAGGTATTTTTCGATTTGTGTGACAGATCGCCAACCTACTCCCTGATCTGGTTAAAAGAATAAATGTTCTTTCTCTTAAGCCATTGTTGGCAACTCGGCGGCATCTCCTAGAATCGGATTCACGTTTTGGGAGATGCATTTTGTGAGTGAACGCTTGGATCACGGCCAATATTCGTCTTTCCACTCCGTGGTGAGTGAACGCTTGGATGACGGCCAATATTCGTCTTTCCCCTCCGTGATTCATGCCCACCAAATTTTCTCCAGTGTTGACCTAAATTGGCTTCTTTCAAAATTGTTGTATTGGGCAGGTTACAAGATGGCGTGAACTACGTGGACTCTTGTGTAGTCACAACGACATTGTCTGTTTATTAATCCAGCCGACTTGAATTGAATTGCAACCATCGATATGCATTTTATTGTTGGTTGCTTTACTTGTCGATCGTCCCGTATTTGAGTGACGTGTCAGCTTCTCTTCAGGAGTAAGGACGAGGACAAGCTAAGAAATGAGGCATATTGTCGTAAAGTGCACCATTTAAATTGCATTTACAAAAGTTGTCATGTGAAATTAAAAGCGTTGCAGCAGAAAATAGCAACCAGAATTTCACTGCGCCCGCCATCCTCGGCGTATTCCCGCTAATTACTTTCTGTGCCCTTGACAAAGCAGAGCAGATTCCTCGGGGTGTAAGCTCATATTAATAAATAATGATGTACGATTACTGAGCCCTGTTTCTGCGTTTTTGATATTCGCCCTTAATTCACGACATATTAATTCGACGAAGATGGAAAATATATCAGATTGTTATTTCATTTCCCACAATAGTCAAGGGGTCCATCTTATAATTATAGTCTTCTGCGGTTCGTTGACATGTCTTGTCAGTATAAGCATTTGAGGCTGTGGAGATGTTGTACTGACGGTCGCCGAGATCTCATTTTTCATTAACACAGATCGCCCGGTAAGACGTCGTTGTATTCCGTTGACAGTGGAACATTCAAAGCCTTTTTAAGGCAGCTTCTAATTTCTAAAGGAGGCTGAGCTATCGAGTGATCTCTGATTGGATGCCTCATTGATCACATCTCACAACGGATGTTTGTGAATTATAACATCGATTATTTGGTCAGAACGGATATTAATGAATTCTGACAGCTGCTGATGTTTGTGGATTGTATCATTGAATTATTAAGTACTCTGAACTTATTTTTTCTCGTTAGATCATTCATCCCCCAGTGTGCGTGTCACAATCATAGTGGCGGTTTTAAAAACGTATGACAAGAAATTAATAAATTTCTTATACGCCCGATTTCTGCCATACTGGGAAGTTTTACTGAAGTCTGTCGACACTTACCACTTCTGGTTCAAATGGGATAACAATATTTCGTTCTCTATTTGAGGACTTGCCATAAACCATCATAAATACCATCATCCGTGACTAGGTTCAGCTGTCGTAAAGCCAGACAGGCTGCCGACACCGCCCCCATTGAAGGACAGCGACTCTCGAGACCTCTGGGTGCTGTTCGTTGAGATTGAAGATCAGATTCTGACCAAACGCCAGAAATATTGCGCTGCGTATTAGAAGTCTCTGCTGTTATTATCATAATTCGGTTCCCATTCTGATTTGGGCCTGGTTCTGATGATAGCAATCAAACGTCTCTACAACATCCAGGTCCTTCTCGGGGCCAGTCTTTTTCGCAAAGGAAATGTTATTCGTATTTGAGTTCATCTTATGCTATTAACACACTGGGGCTCTCGAAATAACTCCAGCCGGCTTGGGTTAGGTTTGGTTAGGCTAGTTTCAGTTGGGTTAGGTTTGAGTTTTACATCAGCCGACGTGGGTTAGGTTAGGTTTGAGTTTTAAGTCATCCAACTCGGGTTAGGTTAGGTTTGAGTTTTACATCAGCGACTTGAGTTAGGTTAGGTTTGAGTTTTACATTAGCCGACGTGGGTTAGGTTAGGTTAGGTTAGGTTATCTTAGGTATGAGTTTTAAGTTATCCAACTTGGGTTAGGTTAGGTTTGAGTTTTACATCAGCGACTTGAGTTAGGTTAGGTTTGAGTTTTACATCAGCCGACGTGGGTTAGGTTAGGTTATCTTAGGTTTGAGTTTTAAGTCATCCAACTTGAGTTAGGTTAGGTTTGAGTTTTACACCAGCCTGCGTACCAGGCATTATCCAAGGATTACTGGCATTTATGCATTAAAATTATTAATTGTAATCTATTAATGGTAACATAATTGAAGGCAAGTTGTAAATAGACGGGCTTCATTCCACCTGTAATAAAAGAAAATCGGTCTTCGTTGGGGAACTGGTAAAATATTTGAAGATAAACTTCAGGCTTGGACTTCGTCGGTCCAAAATGTTCCTCTGGCCGAGCCGAGTAAATTTTAAAATTCCTGCCCGTGTAGACCCCTCTTATGGGTATATTTCCTGTCTTGTTTACTGTGTAACGCACATACCTTACTTACATCCCCCTGGACACACGTTGTTTCAGTCAGAGATGTTAGATATCGCATTTACTTCGGTTCATGTACTAGATTTTCAGATGTTGCCTTAAAGAAATGCCAAATTAGAATCGTAAAAATGTATGAAGATATCCGTCTTCTGGGTTATTGCGCTGTGAGAACCTCAAGTCTTACATAGTAAAAATGTATATTTGTTCACTGGG